TGTCAAAATCCATCTAATCCAATAACAGTCATTTCTTTCTTCTTCTGCTAGCATGAGACCACTGACAAGAATTTATCACCTGATGGGCAGTATGTGCCTAGAATCATGTTTATTGGTATGTGTATAATCTCATTGTGTCAGATTTACAAAATTGGTATGATTCTCAGCATTCTTGATTCTATTTGTTTTTAAATGCTAACTCAAATACTATTATTTTTAAAGGGAAGTCATTTCTAACAAATTATATTATGCTATTAATTTTATAATAAAATTTCACTATATTACTTGTAAAGTTTATTTTTAAAAAGCAACTTATGCTATTAAATCAATATCCCAATGTATTTCCAGTATGGTGCCCCAGACCAGTGAGAATTATAACAGTTATAACACACTAAAAGGAAAATTTAGGTTAATTCATCATGAATTCACATGTAAAAGAAATTAATTTTGCTTATAAATTTACTTGACTTTTGTTTTAGAGTGGGAGGGGGAAAATGATTTTCAAAACATGTTAAATAGTATTTCAGTGACTTGTTTTTTTGTTGACAGACCCTTCCTTAACAGTCAGAGCTGATATAACTGGAAGATACTCTAACAGATTGTATACATATGAACCTCAGGATTTACCAATATGTAAGTATTTAAGAATTGCCTTGGACAGTGTAATAGCTGACCCCTGACTGTTAAAAGGGCCAATGAAGGCCTGTATTAGCCCTGTCACAAACTCCTACCTCCCACCAAAATCTGAATTTCTGGGGCACCCCAGAATCTCAGGGATGCTGAAGAATTCTTGTGATCACTAAATTCTGGGACAACTGAAAGAACTTTGTATGCGTTACAATGACATAACCTCAAGGTAGTGCATTCTTTTTGTGTAAAAAAAAAATTACATATGATTTCCTCAAATTATAACAGTGAAATGTTTTTGTCTTCCTTTAAGAACTATGAGCAAGAAGGTAGAGACTTAGGACTTCAATCCATTTTTTACAACCTCTACTATTAGCTGTATTAAATAAGACAATGATGCCTCTCAGATCCAGCAATACTGGGTCAGTTAATAACTGATTAAAGAGAAAATACCTACTCCCTCTGATAAATTGTTTATCATAAAGAAATTTGATCTGATCTAATCTATAAATTCACATGTATATCTTTAGCATAAAATTCTTCAATGTCAGTTGATGAATTCTCATGTTTTCAAAGCTATTAATTTAAATGGACTTATTTCAGATCCTAGCAACAATTATTACATATGATTACTTTCATTTACTAATATTTCAATGTCTGTTTACTTTTATTTCAGTGATAGAAAACATGAAAAGAGCATTAAGACTTATTCAATCAGAGTTATGAAGTATGATGGAAAATGTCTTTAATTCTGAGGTCAAATACCATGAAGAAAACATCTGACTCACTGACAAAACCTAAATGTGCAAATATATGGATTTTGTAATGCTATTTAGATTTTTTAAATGTGTTTTAAATATTCTTGTGACAATATAATGATATTTCAATAAATGTTGCTAAGACATGAACATGACAATGTAGTAGTTCAACTTCTATTTGCATCAATAGCAAGAAAGCTTGTATAAGCCAAGAGTTAGGAAAGAGGTGTCTATTCTATTTCCTCACATCTCACATCTCACCTCTCACTCTACCAACAACTCATCTAATTTTACATCT